GTTCTTGGGAAAACATCTCCTGCTGAAAATCAGGGGCATCTGCAAGGAGGGGGGGGGGGTCAAAACAGTCAAGGTGGGGGCTCCGGCTGGTTTCAGGCCCCCTCTTTTCTTTTTTCACGCACCCACCGTGGTCACCTCTGTTGAAAATGCAAGGAGCAACGGGTGTAAACTCGGCAGGCCAGCTTTGTCCTTGGAAAAGTTCTCACTAAAGGTCCAAACTGAGAAAACGGCTAGAACAGAGGAACAAGGAGGTCCTGTTTTGCCATGGTGTGTTGTTCTAATGTCTTTCACACTCTTTTCTAGGTTTAAAGAAGATCCGTCTCTCAAGGCTTGGAATCTGGCATCCGTATTTTAACTTTTTTCAGCTAAAGGAATGTTTACAGATTGCGCACACCCCAAGGACTCCTGGAGCAGTCGATGTTTTAATTATTATTATTTTTTAAATCTATATAGTATTATAAGAAAGACTCCTTTTTTAAAGGAAAATATTTAATATTTATTCTTGCTGCTATTTTATTGTTATTATTTGCATTGAGAACAACAGACTGACTGCTAGATCTGATAGGAACAGAAGCGGCCAATAGATTGGAAAATGACAGCTAGAGCGGGTTTCAAGAATTTGTTTTGGTCTTGGGCAAAAGAAGGGAAGCCGATTTGGGATGCAGGAAAATGAAGATTTGGAAGGAAATTAAACTGCACTAGGATTGTCTGAAGGGGGATAAAAGGCGGGTCCTTTTCCCACGTAAGTGCTAGAACTCAAGTCATTTTTGTGAAGCTTCATTTTTTTTTTCTGGTGACCGTTCTGTGGGCTTCTTTCCCGGTCCACTGGAAAAAGGTTGGCCCTTGGACAGGAAGCGATAAGTGATGGCCTTTGATTCCCGCTCGGCCTTTTATCCAACTCATCCCACATTCAGCAGAACGAAGAAGGGCAGCTCCGGAATACGCAGGGGGAGAGGAACCCCTTCGCCGCTGAAGGAGATCTTACTCCCACTTCAGGACTCCGCTGACGGGCAGCGGGCAAGGTTTGCTGAAGCGGCTTTCTCCAGGGCGGGCTGGGCCACCCTTTCCCAGGCGAGGGCAGCCCTGAGACGCAGCCAAGATTCCAGGCCCGAGAGCCCCCCACCATCATTTCTGGTCCCACTGCACAAACTCCGTATCCGCGAAACGCCATCCTGCACTAGCCGGCTCTGGAACCAGAGAAGATTTCGGCTCAACCAAAAGTAGGTCCCGGAACGTGGCTTGGGAAGGGCTTTCCCATCCATTAAAAGGGGATTATAATCTTTCAGGAGAAGACCGACCCACATTGGAGTGGCGATGGACAATTTCTGGGTGGGGGGTTGTATCTCCTGCCCCCTCGTTGCAATAGCAATGCGTAAACAGGCTTGGATTTTTATGGAAGAGCCTACGAGTTTGGTTCTGGTACTGGTCAAAGTTCCTGAGCGCTGGATATGCTCAGAGGCACCCTGGTCCTTAATACTTAGCATGCCTGCATCACTATTTTGCACTTGGCTTCAGTTGCATGATCTCAGGGCTCTGGTTAATCGTGTAAACAAAACAAATTGGATTCTGCTGACCGGGAGACTCCCACCCCTGCCTTAGCGTTCACCTGGGTGCGGAGAACAGGATGAGGTTTGAACCCAAAGCGGACCGTGAAGAATTATTGCAAGGGGCCTCCGTTTTCCCTTGCCTTAAGTGCTTTTCTACACATTTTTAACAATTGCAACAAATAGAATCTGCAGCAGTTTACATAGTGAATTGGGTGCACTTTGTGGCTGCTTTTCCGTTTTTCTAATTTTCTTTCAACACGTTTTTTTGAGGAGGGGCCTTACTATTTTCTATTGCCTGAAGTTTCAGTTAGGGAAAAGTCAAGATTTTTTTCAAAAAGGGTGAGTATTTTTGGAACGAAAGCAAAAGGATGAGGAGTTGGAATCATACTATCCACTGTGGAATAACAGATTCATCTTAATTGAATTTGAATCCCGGCCTTTTCTGTGCATTTCAGAGGATTTAAACGTGTCGCCTCAGATCGTAAAATCAGGAATTCTAAAAATCACGAGGAGGGGCAGCAGTTCTTTTTAAATTATCTCCCCCTCCCCTATATTGCTACTTTTAATTTAAAATCAAACCAGAAATATTGTACAGTATACAAAAAAAATCCTGCTGGAGATAATTATATACATATTTATGTTGTGTATCGTGTATATTTATGTGTCCTGTTTATATATCTTTTCCCAGCTTTTGTAACTTTCCTGTTTGTTTTTTTAACGTAAGGCGTTTTCTCGCACAAGAAAATTATATAAAATATCTATTTTGCGCAAGGAGTAACCCATCTGATACTCTGCTCTGTTCTGATTTGCTTCCATTTGACAGAGTGGGTGGTTGTAGAGATGGTTCCTACCTGTAGTTTGTTAAGAGCAGTGTTTCTCAACCTCGGCAACTTTCAGACGGGTGGACTTCAACTCCCAGAATTCCCCAGCCAGCATGGCTGGCT